TGCTGTGACGAACTGTCTTCCGTAACCGCATTACTTTCTGCGCGATATTGTTGTGGGGAAATGGGACGGGTCGGAGGGGGAGCAGTGGAAAGACGGGTCGGTCGGGCAAGTTGCATGGATACCCTCGTTTCTTTTGTTTTTGTGAGAGTCGGTCGGGTCGGTATCGGGAAAGTCCTGCACGGACGATAGAGTAACCGCTTCTCAGCGAGCGTGATGGACAACCATTGCAATGGCTTCTTTCTTGTCTTGCTATGAGCACTAGGAATTTTAAGCGTGATCATCGCGCGGGAATATCGATTTTAAATTTTCAACTGATGTCGAGATCCTACGGGCTTGAGGACTTGTTTGTGGGCGTTTCATAATTTTCTTTTGCAATTAGGACTTAGACTAGGAATTTAGGCGCTCCAAATTTTGCTACGCCATGCTTCTCACTTGCGCACACTTTGCTGTGCTAGATACTGGGCTCTGCCTGGATCGCGCCCTTAATCTTGTGTAACTGTCGCTTTTGGCGGGCGCGATTGTAACTGCATCTTTCTTCTTTCTTGATTTCCTCATGTTTGCCCGCCTTATTCTTCTTTGTCTTGCATGCTTAATACTCTGTTCTAATTGGCCTTAACGCCTGTACGACCGGATCAATGCGTGGAGAGTGGCTACGTCCCCCACGCTATGGCCAGGCCATGTAGACGTAGACACTTCCTCTCTTCTCCTCCTGACCACTTGGGCTTAATCCCGTATCTTTCGCGCAAGCGTGCATGATATAAATTTCGCAAGATCGATTAGTTGTTTCTCTATGAACTTTGGAGTTAGCGCGATCAGTGAGGGTCGGCTAACGAGTCAGCTTGAAGAGGTGAGTCGACGAGAGAGTTGGGCGATCCGACGAGCTGGTGTCGGGTATGCGGGGTTGACGTGTGGGCCACGACGGACTGTGGCGCACGGGCGAACCTGGCTTGCATGCTCAAACCAAGCGGGGTGACAACTCTGTGTTGTTGCGTGGCGACGGAGTGCCCGCATCGGGAGTGGAGAGAGAGAGAGAGAGAGAGAGAGAGAGAGAGAGAGAGAGAGAGA